TTTCTATTAAATATAATTTATTTAACAAAATACATATATTTCTTCTTTTTTCCTATTGAATAAACACAAGGTTGATTAATTGAAACAAAATGTTGTTATTTTTTATAGAATGCATTACAATTAAATGTAATCTCTACTCAATCAATATGTACATATAATTATTAATATTTCATTGATCATGTACATATAAATTTAGTTGTCAATATCAATTCTGTATACGATATGGTGTTGTTCTAACTAAGAATAACAAAATATTTTTGAAGGTTGATTTCTAAGTAATCTAGTTGAATACAAAAGGAGTTTTTGTTATTTGTATGTTCTTGTGATATAGATACATCAACTGTCGTTCATATTAAATATAGATATTGTGATACTTATGTTAAAGTTAGGGTGTGGATCTTGATAGTACGTGTGGGTGTGAGTGTTCTTTCTCTGAAGTCACACCCACACTCTCAAGATCTATTCAAAAATACTTATACGGTCATATATATACACAGTTTTCTTTTTTTTTATGAAGGTCACTGTTTTAATGTACTCATCCAAGTTAGATAAGTAACGAAAAAATCGAAGTTTTAACGCGTAAAAAGCCCACATTTTAATATGTTAAAGAAAAGAATTTTTTTATGAGAACAAAAAGAGTTGATCAAAGTTGATGTCTTGAAACTTGTTTTTATTCAAAAAAAGAATTTTTAACACATAAAAGAGGTCATTTTTTTGTTACTTGACTGCCTGAGTTTTGAAGTGTAATAAAGTTAACCTTGTTTTCTTTTTCAAGGTATTTATTTTTTACTCTCTTATTCGATAATAAAAGCACAATGTGCTGAATTTATTGACACACGTACATATACACAAAAGATAAAGCAAGAATTAAACATTTCTTTATTATATTCTTGCACAATGACACGTGTTATCGCTCTTCATGGAGCAACGGGTTCTGGTAAATCAACGCTCTCTCGTTTAATGGGTGAACATTTGAGCACGAAGTGTCTTGTTATGGAGGAAAATTTGGATGCACTTTTGGCTACGCCAAGTTCAGATGATAGTCAAACGCCGTGGTACCGTCAAAAAACGGCAATTACCGCTAGTGATACTGTCACAAGTTTTTTTATGAGATATATCAGTCCAATATCAGTACTTATTTTTACCCTCATAACTTATTTTTTTACTGGTACTGTCTGGGCAGTTGTCATATTGTTTATTATTTGTCTGACTATTGGTCGATTTTTTCGTTGGCTGAACAGTCACATTTTATCAAAAATGTGGTTATACAATGTTTCTTTACTTAATGATCAACAAAACCAAAGTAATTATACATGGATATGGAGAGATCGAACTTGTGTCGATATCTATACATATTGTATAATGAATAATAGCACTTCAGTTCCACTGAATACGAGCCGAATTCTTCTAGAACAAACACACACAACGAGTGTAGCTGTCATACTAGATGTACCAGAACATATTATCAAGACTCATTTGAGAAAAAGAATGACCGCTCCAACTACATCATTTTCGTTTGCTATTGCTACACGACTAATATTGTGGACTAAAATACCTGTTCAATCATCAATTAATGCTCTAAAATTAATTGAACAATGGTATCAGAGAATGAATATACCCGTAATTAAAATTAGTCAACTTCGTAATAAATTAGATTGCGATTCAATAACAGGAGACATTCAATGGAGTAAACATTCGATCAATGTTCTTCATAAAACTATCGAAGAAGCTATTGAAAAACGTGGATTACCGTCGTCGACGATTGATGATTTGTTAATGCCATGGCAAACTATACAAAACTCTCGTCTCGTTCATATTTAATTGTAAAACATAGATCGATACTTATTTCGCATATCCTTCATAGTTGAAAGAAAATGTTTTTTTTTTCATCTTTCCATCAGAGCTTTTATATGATAATTGGTATTTCTACATAATAATTCATAATTATTTCGATTCTTTCTATTAAATTAAACTTTTAATATTAATATAGTTTATTATTACTAATATTTTTTTACATCAAAAAGCACTATCCATCATATCTATTACAATTTATCAACTACGCTAATATGTTTGAGTATCGTAATATGTTTTTTATTTTGTATTTTCTTTTAAAAAATCATTGAAAGTCCATTTACATTATGTTGCCATGCTATATCTGTTAAATTCGTCATTCTACCAAACCAATTATTTGCAATGATTCGATTTTTATTCCCAGCTTCATGTATTAAAGTATAATCAAGACTTTCAATTGAACAAACTAAAAGTACATTCATATCTTCAAATTCTTGTTGAAATGGATAAGTACCATTATTAGGATCATTATTTCATCTATTTGTTCATCTGTAGATAATAGATGATTTGCACGAAGATAAGTTAAATGTTTTCCATCAGTTAAATTCTTTTGTAAATCATTAAAAATAATACGACAAAGTGACCAAAATTTTGTTTCAAGAGAAATACTAATATCATTTAAAGTCATCATTGCAATATGAAGACCAACATGTTCATAACGATCAAGTGGTAAAGAATAACGATGACGTAAATTAACATTCAAATCATATTTAAAATTTGAAAATTTAGAAGAAGATTCATTAAGCCTATAGAATTACAATGTAAAAAAATGTTCCTTGAATATGTGTTAAGAAATATTGTAATTCGACTTACCATATATCTTTCACCATTTCTGCAATTGCAAAATAGATTGATGTTAACAGTACAGTTCCTATAGTAACTTTTTCTTGACAACATTTATTCAATAGTTTAGTCAGATTTTCTGCTTTACCATGATGATATAGAATAGAATTTCGACCTGTTGCTATTTCATAAGGAATAATATGTTTCCAATGACGTTTATATTCAAGAACATTTTGAAGTAAATCTTCTGTTTTCTTTTCATCTTCATTTGTTAAATTTGAAAATACTATTGTTTCGCTATCGGAAAGATAGGGAAGTATTGATAGTTTTTGATGAAGATTATAATAAAAGATATTGTCGATGATTCATTGGATTCTTATCGTATAATAAAATTAATTTAAATGGAGTATTTAGTTCATTATTAACAATTTGTTTCCATTCATCTTTTGATTGAAATTCAATGTATAAAGGTGTTGAATATGGTTGTTTAATAAAATAAAATTGATTTGGTTTTGTTAATGAATTCATATTTAATTGTAAATTATGATGTTGATCAATACATTTATGTAATGCCAGTTCGAAACGTTGTTGATCAAAATATTTCACAGAATTAAATTCACAAATACATATAACTGCTCCTTCAAGATCGACTGCATATGATTTAGCCCAAGCTAATTCACGATAATATTCCATAGTAGACATACTCAGAAACAAAAACTATGACGATTACGCACGTTTACAAAATAAAAATGAAAGAAAATGTGTTCGGTATATATGTCTACGTTAGTAAATATTTTTCTTTTTTCATTTCTTTCTTTAGGCCTTATCTTCACTAGAGAAGGAATCCTCCATCAAAGTAGAATTAAATCAACACACGTCTTCATCTAATTTTTAATGCACCATTTAAAGCT